AGAGAGAGAGGAAGACATATTTTCTGTTCTTAGCTCCTTAAACAGTGATGTAGAGCTAAAGCACATTTTGCATGGGTTTTATGCCATTGTTAGTGAGGCTGGTAATCTTTTCATTATTTATAGTGAAATTACAGCAGCAGAGGCAGCATTAAAATAAATTGTGAACCAATTTATTGAGAAGTATTATGTAGTGAACCCATGAGCAGAGGAACACCCTTGCTACAATCTGTTGAAAGTCAGGGAAAGACAGGGTAGATAAGAAAATAAATTTATTATTAACAGTCCCAATATGAAAGTAAAGACATAACTGGTTAGAGCTGGAGAGAGGAAAATGGGACAGGCGGGAGAATTGGGCAAGGCTTACATAGTGAGGGTGACAGGTAGAATGAATGGAAGGAGCAGGGGTGAGCATCCATTTAGTCATTTTCTTAAGGAACTTCTTACATGGACATCAGAGTAGAGGGAATAAAGTGACGAGCCCACCTGGACCTGCCGTCTGGTTTCAGCAATATCATCATTGGCTGCTTTTGTTATTCCTTGTACTCTTCTTTCTCTTCCCTACCGTACACATTGATTGCTGCTTTGTATAAGAAATAATGGCTTTATGTTTTAAATATAGTCATAATATTATTATCCCTAAAAAGCCACAAAAATTTACACTTAGGATTTATATTTCTTCTGGTTGTCGTACAACTTTCTCTTTACAGCTATATTCAGTTTAACAGTCCTAAATTTGTATATACCAAATACCAGAGCTTCCAAACAAATGCAGCAAAAATTGACATAATTAAATAGTGAAGCCTCATAAGACTCCTAATTGGGGATTTTAACCATACCACTCTTAATATTTGATAGGCTATGGAGAAAAAGAATCAGAAAGAATGTAGAACGTTTGAACATGATAATCAGATTTGATCTAATATTAATGTAATACTATAGTCAATAATTGCAGAATTTTTTAAAATTATGAAATAGAGGGCTGGGGATTTAGTTCAGCAGCTCAAAGCATTTGCCCGAGTTCGATCCTTAGTACCAGAAGGAAGGAAGGAAGGAAGGAAGGGAGAAAGGGAGGGAGGATGGGAGTTTGGTGAATGAAATTTGTCGCTATAAAGAATGTTAGGGAAGAAGAAAAGCCTAACATCAAAGTCAAATATTCTACCTCAAGTGAGAAAAACGCATTAAATCAAAGTAAACAAGACAGCAATAAAAATAAGAACAGAAACTGACCAAAGAGAAACAGATGAACTGTAATATTAGCAGTTACGGCTGGGCAAGGTGGTGCAGGCCTGTAAACCCCACTGAGTAAGCTAAGGCAAGAAGATCACAGATTCAAGACTAGCCAGGGTAAGTTCAGAGCCAGCCTGATGTATACAAACAACATGCTGGGAAAATTACAAAACAAACTCCTACCAAGATTGACAGAACACAGATTCACAGGATTGGTTTTAAAATAGATTACTAATGACCATTACTCATGAGTGAGTATTATGAGTAATGATTTGTCAGCTTTCTGTCCGTAAGACACAGCATAATGACAAGCTCAGTTCATAAACTCGATTCTGCCCACAGTTCTGGTTGCAAACAAGTTAGATGAGAACTGAATCAAATTCAACAATTAGATTTAGTGTTGACTTTATGGGGAGATTTTATGAGATTCTCATCCAGGTCAGTTTGCCACCAAAATCATGGGAACTGTGTTTGTGAATCAAGGTACTACTGTGTTGAACACCCACAATTGAAACGAGTGGTTTGATTTGGCTCCTGGCTCCGGAGTGTTTAATTGTGATTGGCTGGCTGTGAAGCAGAAATGCCATGGGGTAAGACCACAGAGCAAAGATGCTTCTTTCACGGCCCCATGGGAAGAGTGTCAGAAAAGAAAGAGCAAGGGACTATGCATGTCTCCATGGTCAGGCTGCTTACCCCACCCAAATTCCATATTTGGTGATACCTAGTCTGTGTTGACTTGGAGCAGTGCCACTGCAGCATCCCCCAGGTGCCCTGCAGCAGTGGACCACATTCCCATGGGGAATCAACTTGGGTCCTGCATCGGTACAGACCTGTCAGAGCCATGTGTGTGTGCGCGGATGCGTACACGTGCATGCACACCCACAAATGTGTTCTGCTACTGGCTTTAAGCAGGAATACTGCTATTACACAAGTCCTTCTGCAGAATGCTTTCCTACCCATTTAAAGTTTGCATTACCTTCACACACAGATCGGGAAGGGACATGTCAAGGAAAGGTGGTCAGATACCAATTGTTAGGGCTCTTGTCTAGATGTCCCCTCAAAGCCTCGTGTGGACATAGGTGGGCTGTTTCTGCGGTGGCTGAATCTAGAGCGTGTGATGCTGGGGTTCAGGGCGTGTGATTACTAAATTAGTCCACTGATTGGTTTGGCATACTCCTCGGGTGTGGACGATGGCAAGGCCCTTCCTGGGTATGAGTGGCACCACCCAGTGGGTGGTAGTCTGGAAGGGATAACAGGAAGAGGTCACCTGCCATCACTGCTGCTTTGCTGCTGCTCTGTTTTGCTGACTTCTGCCTTCCAGGAGCTGTTAGTCATCTGCATGTTTTCTCTGCTATGCCATCCTGCCCTGGAACTAGCCGACTATGGACTGTAACCTCACAAACTGTGAGCTACAGTAAACCTTTCTTCCTTAACTTTAGGTGTCACGTATTTTGTGTCTGCATCAATAAGAGTAACTAGACACCAGTGCCCCCCATGAGCACACACATAAAATTTCTTAACATGTTGGTGTAGTAAATGTGCTTATAAGGATATAAGTAAAGTTGACTCTAAGAATTATCCTGAAGAGGAAAATTAGTTTAATACTTGAAAAATCAGTTCACCAAATTAAAGGGGGCAAAGCATGCAATCACCTCAACAACTCCAAGAAAAAAAAAACTTTGAACAATTCCCTTATACATAAAAAATAGAAATACCTAAGAGACATACTTAATGGTTGAAATGTTTAGTATTTTCACCCTAAAACAGGATAAAGACAAGAAAGTCAGTGCTTAGCATTCTAACCAATGTTTGACTACACAGACTGAACAGTAAGGCCAGAAAAAGGGATAATAGGTCTGGAGAGGAGAAAAGGGTACCATTGCCTTTTTTCTCAGACAACTTGATCAACTACTCAGAAAGCCCAAGAAATCTCCAGTAAATTCTAGAATTAATGGATGTAACATTTTTAACAAGATACAGTTAAAAAGTAAAAAATGTTTTATCACTAACAATTGGAAAGTAAAATTTTAAAATATCTGTAAGTATATCAAAGTCATATTTGGGAGGAAGTTTATAATATTACAAGGTGGGGCTGGGAATTTAGCTCAGCGGCATAAGCACCTTCCTTGCAAGCAGGCGGTCATGAATTTGATCCCCAGTACCGATTAAAAAAAAAAAGTTGCAAGACCTTTACACTGACAAATGTCTTGTACTAAGGAGGAATTAAATGACTTTGATATATAGTGCGTTGCAACATTTGTAGCTTGAAAAAATATATCAAGATTGGCCACACTATATTGATTTTGTAGATTCAACATAATACCAAAGTTTCATAGAAATTGAAGAATTACTTTTAATATTTATATGGAAAGAATGTTTAAGAATAGCCAAAAAAACAGCATTGTGAAAGTACTAAGAATTTACCCTATCTAATGTTAAAACTTGATATAAAATGTTACTGTATTTTATTGGCAAATTTGAGACATACAGACTGGAAGAAATTAGGATATCTAGTGGGTACGTGAGTGCTGTCGTTTGATTTAACAGAATCCATTCAGCAAGGAAAAGATACACTTAAATAATAATCACAACTAGGGAAATACAGGAAAAATTTAATCTTTTGGCTTCACAGTACACATCGAAATGGTTGAAAGAGATAAATATAAAAGCTAAAACTTCTAAATTTTGGGAAGAAAACATTGAAGATTATTTTCATTGACAATGGGATAGTCAAAGATTTTTTTTAGATAGAACATTCACTACTCATAAAAAAAACTTTGAATGTATTTTTTAAAAACTACTCTTCATCCAGGATAGTGTCAAGATAAGTTAAACTCCCCTCAGACTTAGAGACATAACTTTAATTTATGTATCGGACAGCGTCCTTATGTCCAGAATATGTTGGATATAAATTAGATAGCAACTTTAAAAACAAAATAATGACCAAAAGATTTGGATACTTGAGAAAGGATACTATGTAAAAGTACACTAAGACCATGAAAAGTTGCTAACTTAATTTTCAAGGAAACATTACAGTTTATTGAGATTGTTGAATTTTTAAAAATTGACAACAGTATCATTTTACTGATGAGAAAGTAAAATAGCAGAAATTCTCACAGACTTCTGATGAGAATCTGAAGTCGTGTGGTGGGAGTGTTGGATACATACATGCACGTACATATCTACCATATCTCTTCAGATTGTTGATATGAAATCTGTAATGTTTCATTGTGGATTTCATCTCTGTTTAAACTGGCATAGTGGTGCTTGTGTCTGGAATTGGTTAGAATAGAATGAAGAACTGTTATGTTTTGATAGGCCATTTAATACATGTGTGTGTATGATGTGATTTTCTAAGTACAAGGAAAACACAGAATTTTGAGTCTTGATGAGTGGAACAATTTGAAATGACTCCTAAAATATCTTTGTCTTAATTTTTGAAGTAAAATTTGAATACTAAACTGTAAGGTGCATTGGTGTGTACTTTACACATCATTTTTTGCTTTATCTCCAGACGAGCCCAGTGGTGACTTGTGGTATTCCTATTTTACAAAAGTGGAAATGGAAGTATATAGTGGAAACAGAAGAATTGTGTGTTTAATGAACATTCCCAAGCCATTATAGAAAGAATCCTAAGCCCTGAGTTCATATCTGAATTTTCTAATCTTAATCTACTGAATATTATTTTCCTACATTCTCTGTCTATTGGAAGATTGTGTAGTGACCCACTTTTCACAAGCTTTTGTTTTGTTCAATAACTTTAATTTTTAAAGGAGCAACTGTAGTGACAGCTGCTGTGGTGGAAGTATATTCACGTGGCTCTCAAGTTAAGACGATGCTGAATATAAGTTTCAAAACTGATTATCTCACCATGATGCTATATAGTCCAGGTCCTAAACTGGTAAGTTGAAAATGGAAACAAAGTATGTCTTTATTTGTGAAAAATTATATAGGTGAATTTTAATTAAATAATGGTTGTTAAATCCATGTGTGTTTTTTAATATCTGTTCCTCTGAGAAAGACGGTTGATCTTTTCACCTTAAGAATTTTAAGTGTCTCAGTTTTTAAATGTTATTTTGCATACAGATAGTAATGTGAAAAATGAATATTAAAATTTATTTTTTGAACTTCATTGGAGAGTCCTTTGAAAATACATTTTGTGCCGTGTGCTCAGCAGTAGTGTGTGGGCTTAGCATGTGCAAGGTCCTGTGTTCAGTCTCCAGCACCAAAAACAAAAAGAAGAAAGAGAATTTTGATGTTTCCTATAAAAGGCTCAATAATTTATATAGGTTGTATCATAAAATATACTTTAAACTTGATTGTTTTGTTTAATTTTTGTATGGATTTTCTCTTCCACAGACTTCCTTTTCAGATGTTCGTGATCCTTCTCTGCAGCTTGCTGAATTTAAATTGGAAAATATTATAAGTTCTTTAAAAATGTATACAGATGACAATACAGTTTCTTCTTTCTCATTAAAAAACTGTATTTTGGATGACAAAAGACCTCATGTCAAGAAAGCAACCCCCAGGTAGGTATTATATGCTGAGATTTATTTTTATTTATTTATTTTTGATAGTACTAGGAATTGCACAGAGGAACTTTGCACTGAGCTATGTCCCTAGCCCTTTTTAATTTGTTTTAGCGTCTCAGAGTGCTGAGATCGTAGTCAAGTACCACCACAGCTAGTTCTTCTGAATTTCTACTTGAGAAACAGCTTAGTCTCAAAGCTGAATTTCAGTTTCTAAATACATTTTGGGATCTTCAGAGCTTCACTTAGGTCAAGTGTTGATACTCATTTTAAATAAAATTAAAATGTCTTGGTTTAGTGATGTACTGTATATACTGGCTAATTGAGGAAGTAGTTAAATAAATAGAATTAGTGCAATTAAATGAGAAATACTTAAAAACTGAGAAGGAAAAAAAGTGCTGACATTCAAAACTCGAGTAATTTCCCATCTATACATTTGCTAACTTGTGACACAGCTACACTCCAGAAGTTTGTAAGCCCATTATTCAGAAGACTTCCCAAGACATTCCTTCAAGAAGGCTTATTTGTTGTCAGTGAAAAGGAAAAAGTCTTAAGTCTTATTGATGTTTTTGGTTGTGTGTATGTTACTCATACATAGGAATTTTTATTACTGTGTTTTTCAGAATGATAGGACTGACTGTTGGATTTGACAAAAAGGACATGATGGATGTACAGTATAGGACAGTCAGAGACGGTTCTGTGACTGATGCAGTCTTTCAAGAAATGTATATTTGTGCAAGTGTGGAATTTTTGCTGACAGTTGCCAATGTCTTTCTTGAGGCCTACACTACAGGCACTACTGTGGAAAACACTGTTCAGACATGGGCTGCAAAAGAAGGTTAGTTATGAGAAAGTATTTAGTATTGAAATGCTGTATCAGCATTTTACTTGGATTAGCCTCTTAGATACGATGAGAGTTAAATATATTAATAAATTAAAGTCGTAATTTCTCACTGTAGGAGGAAAACTAATGTGTTTTTTGAGAGGTTATATATTTTGCAGTTTTTTGAAGGTACAAATGTATTTTAGGTTCAAAATTTTGAGACCTTCACTGGGATAGCTAATGTGTTTCTGTGCAGGTGGTAGTTTGAATAAATTTGCTGATGCAAGAAAACAAGCAAGGGGAATAATGAAGCAGTCACTCCTTTTTATAAATAAAGAATTTTTAAAAAATGTTTATTTGTAGCTTTTAACCTAACATACAGTTTTTCTAGTATTTTTTTACATGTTTTGTTCATTGTAATATAGTAGAAACAATGTCAAATTGACAGTTGGAAACTACTGGATTAGGTTCCAGCTGGACTATTAAATAGTGGAGTCATCCTCTTGCCTCCCCCATCTTTTAAAATGTTCTTATTCCTATAACTTCTTTTTTTAGAGAGTTGCAACTTAATGGTAGAGTGTGTATTTAGCATGCCCTGAGTTCTAGGTTCTGTCCCTGGGACCACAGAAAACAAAAGAACAGAGAGTTGTGGTGCATTCCTTTGAGATCTAAGATTGTTTAATTTATCTTTTTTTTTTTTTTTTTTTTTTGTCTTTTTCCTTTTTATCGGTACCGGGGATCGAACTCATGACTGCCTGCTTTACAAGGCAGGTGCTTATGCCGCTGAGCTAAATCCCCAGCCCCTTAATTTACCTTTTTACTTAGAATGAAATAACATTTTCTTATAAATACTTAGATTCAGAACTAATTTGTGTAGCAAATATTTATATATTAAAACATTTTTATTACTATTTTAGTACCTATGCAGGAATCAGAGAAATGGGAAGTTAACATTCTTATCAAAAATCCAGAAATTGTGTTTGTGGCTGATATGACAAGCAGTGACGCTCCTGCCTTAGTCATTACAACACAGTGTGAGATTTGCTATAAAGGTGACCTGGAAAACAGCACTGTGACTGCTGCGGTTAAAGATCTCCAAGTCAGAGCATGCCCGTTTCTTCCAGTCAAGAGAAGAGGCAGAGTTGCTACTGTGAGTTTGCTATTGTCTGCTTAGTTGCGAAGTATCTTAAATTCACTATAACCACATTAGGAAATGAAAATGACCTGTGTTGTTTCTAACCTTTCTGTGTATAGTACCTTTCTGTCAGCTCAGGGAGTGCCATTTAAAGTACTAGTTGTAGTACTTTAGTAGTAGTACTAGTTTTGTACTAGTTTTGACACTCCTGTTTTTCCTAGAGCTTTTTTCATTGTTATATTCTCACTAAGAACTTGGTTTTGCTTTGACATTTTCCACCTAAGATTATATTCTTAGTTTCTAACCATATCAAACTGTTCCCTGTCCTTGAAGACTTTCTACTAGATAGTGTTGTTATTTCAGTTTTTTTATTTGGATGTTTTTGCTTGGTTGTTTTTGAGAGTCTCCATGTGTTTTACGTACTGCTGGAATAAAATATCTAATACCTGTAAGTTAAAGGAGAAAAGGTGTATTTTAACTGACAGTTTATAGAGATTTTAGTCACAGTGAGCTGACTCTAAAGCAGGGTGGCACAGAGAGGGGCATCACAGAGGAGAAACAGTCCTTGGCAGTGCAGGCAGGAAAAAGCAGCCAGGCTGCCTTCTCTCTTTGTACAGTAAGTCTCCTGCTGATGAACAAGTTTTGTTTGGGGGAAAGATTTAAGTTGGATTCATCGTTAAGTCTGACAAAGTAAATCTTATACACCTTTGACAGAAATACACAGTCTAAAGCATAAAAATAGCAAACACACAGATACTGTGAATAAACTATTTGTACTTTTACAGTTACCTTAAAAGGTGATTTACGGTTACAGGTAGCTTCTTCCAGGATTTGTTCACATTGGTGAATGTTTGTAATATTTATGAACGTTCTCAACTCAGATGTTCTTAAGTCAGGGGCTTACTGTATTCCATCCATGCTACAACCCTGGAGTGGGGCTTCTAGAACAGTGCTGCAAGCCTGGGGCGGGGCTTCTCAGAACAGTTTTAAAATAAATACTCAGTGGACTCATCTGGGGACCGGAGTCTACGCCCAGCAACTAGCAGTCGTCTGGGAACCCATGGTGAGACTCGAGGACTGGAAAGCTGCCTAGGGGCCTGCCCATACCCAAACACCATCTCTGAGGCCTGCAGGGACTGAGAGCCTGTGCGCAGCATCTAGCAGTTATTCAGGAACTCACAGGACTGGGACCCCGTGCCCAGCAGCTCTCAGTTATCTGGAAACATTTGAGGCCTGCTAGACTGGGAGTCTGCACCCAGCACCCTGCAGTCATCCGGGAACCCTCAGTGAAGTCCGCAGGGACTGGTTGTACCCAATAACCCGGAACCTACAGCAACCCTTAGTGAGGCCCACTGCCTGACAGCCCACCAGAGTGGGAAGAACTTGGCGTCTGGCTGATTTGGAGGAACACAGGAAAATGCCAAAACGAAAGAACGAAACACAGTCTTAAACTTCTAGCCCATCCAACTGAAGTCCAGGAGACATGGACATGTATGAATTTGAAAATCACACATCTGAAATCTCTGAAATGGTAGCAAGGAAACAACTCGAGGAAGCTGTAAAGGAAATAAGATCAGTAATAATTGTGCAGGTGAAAACAGAAATGTAAACACAATGAAAGAGTTGGTGAATGTATTCAAAGAAAACATAAATAAAAAATACAGGACCATAGGAAAGTGATGGAAACCTGGAATGAACAAAGAGGAAACAATTAGAATACATGGAACAGATTCAAGGAGATAACAGGAAATCAAAAATTCCATTGAAAACTGGCAAAACTACATCAGTGAAGCTGAAGATAAGATTCTCAGACCTCAAAGACATGATTGCAACTAGTGATCATCAAAAAGAAACAGCTCTTAAAAATAAGGTATCTGGAAAAAACAGTTCAAACAGCTGCATGATGATAAGTATAAGTCTGATAGATGTCAACTAAAAAGGAGACACAGACATGACATAAAAAAGTATTTACAGACATAATAGCAAAAAACTTCCCAAGGAACAGTTTGGTTCTCCAAGAAAAGATTTGGGCAGAATTTTGCTTCTATTTGTAAACTTCACATCAGATCATAAACATGACCATACCCGTCTTCTCCACACAAACAGAAATGCAGCTATGTTCCCCAAAAATTGTAAAACAGTTCATAAACAGTGGTACTACTGTGTTTGTTTTAGGTTTTTCATATAAGTGAAGCCATATGTGTGTAATTTATTTCAGTTAATTTATGGTGTCATTTTCCTGCAAATGAGTTACATTTATCCTTTTTTAATACAAACATTACATTGTATACAAATACCACATTTTCTTTATCCTGATTGTATAAAATCTGCCTCTAATATTCTACCAATGCATTGATTATTTTTAAAAAGTTTTAAGGACTTGGCAGTAGACTCCCATGACCTGGCCAATCTATATTTCTACCATTCTGTCCCCAATTTATAATTTCCTCCTTACTGTTATTTCTCTTTCCCATTGCTGTTCATTTCTCAATGTGATATATAAGTAGAATTCTTACAAAAATGAAATTCACCATTTCCTGATAAAGGAGAATAAGTGGCCTTTCAATGGACAACAGATTTCATGAGATTTGCCTGCTTTGTTAGCATTGGGCTTTGGCTGTCTTTAGACTTTAGCCACTGTAATGGGTATACAAGGCTATGTTACTGCTTTAATTTGCAGTTCGCTGATGAAAAACAGATGAGCATTGTTTGTTGCACTCATTGGCCAGCTACAAATTAAAACAATTTATCTGTTGAAGGATAAGTAGGCCACTTCCAAGATTTAGCTGTTGTGCATTGTGCTGCTGTAAATATAGGTATGCATATATTACTATAATATGTCTTTTACTCCATTTTTCATGTTCTCTTGTTTTTAACATATCCGAATAATTGGTCTTTGAAGCATTGCTATCTTCTAATTCTGATATTCTGTCCTCACATTGGTTGCTTCTGTCACCCATACTATGAAAAATTTTTATTTATTTATTTTGTGTGTGTGTGTTTTTCTTTTTTATCAGTACCAGGGATCGAACTCTTGACTGCCTGCTTGCAAGGCAGGCGCTTATGCTGCTAAATCCCCAGCCCCAACAATTTTTTTTTGTTTTTTGTCTTTTTCTTTTTTACCAGTACCAGGGATCGAACTCACGACCACACAATTGCAAAGCAGGTGCTTATGCCACTGAGCTAAATCCCCAGTCTCAAACAGTTTTTAATTTTTTCAATTTCTGTTTGGAACCATTTCATGGACTCTAAATTTTTTTGTTTGATTTCATTCATTCATTTATTCATTTTCTGGGACAAGGTTTCACTTTGTAGCCCAGATTGGCCTCAAGTAAACAGCAGTCCTGCCTTAGGCTGCTGAGAGCTGAGATTACAAGTGTACACTACCGTACCAGGTTAGCTTTCTATAGTGTCTTCTGTTAACTGCCAGAGTCTATTTTTACATCCCTTACCTGTTTGGTTATATCTTCTGTCAGCCCACCTAGAGCCTTATTGTTCTGTTTTTTAATCTCTGTTATCCTTTCAAGTAATTTGGCTGTGTGACTTTTGCTTCCATCTCCTTAATTTCCCTGTAGATTAGCTTGAGGAGAGTTGGGATTTTGAGAAGTCATTTTGTTGTCGTGACTTCTTGTTTTCTGTTATTTTTGTTTGTTTTATGTTGTGTTAAACCTGGAATAGAATGGAAAGATTTTTGTTACTACTGTGAGGACCTCTGTAGTGTACTTTTCACCGATTCACTCAGGGTGTGGCTGTTGTCCTTTGCCTGTGTCCCAAGACACCATCACCGGTCTTAATTTGGGAGTGGAAGATGCAGTTTAATTGGCCCAAATCCAGCTCTCTGGGAATGGACCAAGTACTGTGTGTGTTATAAAGGTATTTTGGGCATTGGCATACAGAGAAAACCTATCAGTAACAACAAGTAACATTACCAAATAACAACCAATCTTGATAATATCAAGTAAATCAGAAACAGTAATATCTGAGACAAATTGTGTGTTGACATATGATAAGAACTTTTACTGTACCACCTTTAGCCACAGAAATTTTATTATAAGTTACTGACATCAATATTGAATTACAGTAGTTTTTCCTGTCCTTTTGATAAATTATATAGATTTTTGTTTTTGAGACAGCATCTCACTTTGTAGTTGAGGCTGGCCTTGAAGTAAGTGTGTAGCCCAAGTTAGCCTTGAACTCTCAGTGTTCCTCCTGCTTCTTATACTCTGCAATATGAGATTACAGATATGTGTCACCATGGCTAGTTTACAGTGAAAGTGTTGGATAGATTTTCCTATCATGAGCCTTTTATCCATAGAGTAATACTATATTTGAAGCCAGGTGTGGCACATGCCTGTAATCCCATCTCTCAAGGGACTGAAGCAGGAGGATCATTTGAAGTTTGGGCTACATGGTGAGTTCAAGCCCAGCTTGAACTGCATAGTGATACCCTGTCTCAAAAAAAACAAAAATTACTTTATTTGAAAGTATTTTCATTTGTTCTTATATTCTGTTCATTAAGGATATTTTAGAGTTCTACAGTGGAAGAACATAGTTTATCTGTTGGAGAAGGCTTCTTAGTGAAGGTGATAATCATGCTGATACCTGAAGAATGAATAGATATTAAACTTGGGAATTCAGCTAGGGCCAGAGAGACTCATGAGTGTGTATTTCAGGAAGAAGTAACTAAATGTGCGGAGATCCTAGGTTCCACAGTACACGTTTCCATCGTCATATTTTCCTAAATTCCCAAATAAGTACCCATATATTTACCTTTTTACCCATATTTACCCATATATTTACCTCTTAAATGGTCCTTAACTTAATGGAGTCCTCTGTCACCAGGTTAGTGTTGGTAGAGTAAAGAACTAGTGATCTTTTGTAAGATGTCTGAAAATGTTTTGTAAAGCTTTTAAGGTTGCTTCTTTGAAGGGGAAACAGTAGCAGCATCAATAGTAAAAAAGATAGTAAAAAGGAATAATATAGTAGATTGGAATACCATGAAGGAAGAAATGATA